AGAACCATTCCTTCTTTAGTACTAGAAATGCAAGACCAAGATTTACCCAAACTAACAAAGAATATCAAAACTTAAATTCATGTCTTGTTTCATTTATCATTTACTCATTGTCAATAAATATCTATAACTTTTCATTCACTCAATAAATATTTATCACACATTACTCTGTGATACTCTACTGTATAGTAGAACCCAAAGCTGAACAAGAAAAGTCCAATCTGGACCTTTATGGGGCTTACAGCTTTAGGGGCTTACAATCTAAGGATGTTTTAGAGAGTTAAAGCGTCTATTTGAACAATTTGCTACATGTTAAAACTCAACAATTTAAGCAAACTTTGTTATAAAACAATAATCAGAGAGTAGTAAGCAAGGTTGGCCCAATAGTGGCAAACAGGGTTATGCCCTGAAACAAGGTACCTGGTCCAGCTCTGAGTAGACCCTGCCCTAACAGTCAAGGGTAGATGTGAGCACAGAATTTTGTCAGGCCTGGGGATGAGGCAAAATGCCTTGCCATTCTTTGAAGTCCATCTTAGTAACATGGCATCTGTATTATTACTTATCATGACCATTATAGTGACATCTACTTAAAACCATGGTGATGTAATTCAAGTTGTAACTATAATTCTTCCATTAGAGGATCCTGTCACAGGCTGACTGTTTTGAAATAGAGAAAAATGTTATGTCCAATAACCAGAAAAAAAGAAAAGCATCTTCTGCAGATTTTTGGTAGTGAGGTTTTACAACTTGATCAAATGTAACCAATTTGGTTAAAGATATTATACAGAAAAAAGTTTACATTTACTTGACTACCAGCATTATTTGTATAGTAATGTCCTCAGATTGAGTTTCTGTGAGCCTCATTTCCAATCACAGGTTAGATTCAGCTCATTAACTAAAATGAGAAACCCATGCATTTTCAAATGTTGTTATAATTTGTGTATTTTCAAGTTGTAAAACCGTATAAAAATCGAAAGCGTTATTATTATTCCACTCCAATTACAAGTTCTTCAGAGGGTGAGAAAATCGCCTGGGGGGTAAGCTCTAATCCACTGCAGCATTGCACCCTGCGCTGGCATTTATGAGGAGAACTGCCAAGAGATTGCCCAGGAGACACATGGGTAGGTGCTTCAGGGAGGCCCAAACCCAGCGACAGAGTGTGAGGTCCTGCTAACTGGAATGCCCAGGCATTCAACGCCCTACCTCGTCTCTCCAGGAGGTCCACCTTTTCACACCCTCCCTCCTGCTCCCTGCTTCTTTTCCATCCCTCCTCCAAACTCAAAATCAGAATCCATGCATATCAAAGACTCAGTCTACATTCTACAGTTGGTGACTTCACTCACCTCAGTCTTCCCTGCCTTTCTGAGCGCTACGGGAAGAAACACCACCAACAAAACACTTGACCCATTCCCCTGGTCTTGAACCTTATTCTCCTCATTTCACTCAGATTTTTTCTATATTTCATGAAGCTCCTCGATAGGAAAGTGTCCTTAGATCCCTAGATTTTGTAATTGTTAAGGCCTGCTTCCTAGTGGAGCTTTCAGCACTCACCCCTGAAATTGAGGTTCCCTCTTTTAGGAGAGGGTTTCCCTGTTCCCACAGGAATTGCTCTTGTTGGAATTCTCTTCTCTTACTGTCACCAGTGGCCCCAGCCCCTGCTGGTGACAATAAAAGGCAGGGGTGAAGCAGAATGCTGGGGCACAGAGAAGGATCATGATCTCAAGGGACTTCATTTGAGCCTCTCCCTCTAAGGCCCATCAAAGTGAGAACACTTCTTCCAACTACAGAGCAATTCATCACATAAAAATAATCAGCAAGGTTATTTACTCATTAGCTCAAAGTTAAAAGGTTTTGATCCTTCCACTCTCTTCACCTTCTGCTTTGTTTTCCTTTGAAAAATCAAAGGTGATTTCCATGCTTAGTAAAAGCATGTGTTGTATGGTGGCTCATAGGTTTCAGTTAAAATGAGATGGTGCTAACAATGGAGTCACTGACCCATATAAGTAATATTGGCCCAGAACTTTGAAATCTAGATGTCTGATTGTGGACAGCTGAGCTTCTTTTCACGGGCTGTTTTGTACAGGCTTCCCCTCTATTAAAATGGATACATTAATCCTTTATTAATCACATCAACTTTCCTCAGAGGTGCCTTAAGAACATTTGGGTCCATTTAAATAATGATTTTAAAGTCAAGCTTTAAAAGTTTCAAAAATTAACTGGAGCCAATTATTCAGATGACTGTATCCTTCCTTTCTTCCTTCTTTAATTCCTCTTTCTTTCTTTCTCCTCTTCTCTGTTACTAAGGAGTAACTTCTCACATGTGGCTCATGTAACTCAAGTGTGTGGTAAGGTGGTAGAGACATTTTGATATATTATTAGGTAAATGTAAATTGCTTAGACTCTGAATCCCAAATTAAGATAAGCAAGACAGCGCTGGCGCCACTGAGGTGTACTCTATAAGTAGCCTAGAGGGAAGGTGGATTAAATAGTATTAACCTATTGAAAGTGAAAGTGTAAGCAGTTTTGCTTCAGAGTTTCTAAAAGAATGTGCCCATACATCATAGGGGGCTTTCAGAAGATTCAGAGACAGGAAACTGATTTCATATCTTAGAAACTTAATTTATGGTAATTTCAGTAGCATCCATCCAAAACTCATAAATCCAAAATGTTAAATGTTTACAGTATATAAGGGGGGAGGGTAGACATAAAGACTGCTTCCTTCTAAAATTTAAGAGCAAAGGGGGAAAAATGAAGTATAATAAAGATAAAATGCCTTTCAATTATTTAGTTCAATTTATTTTTTTAAGGTCATGTGAGCAGAGGATGGGCTAGCCCGTCAGTTTTCTGACTTTGTGTCACTCAGATTTTACACTAAGACAAGATGAATGGAGACCCACAACAAGCATATAGAGTTTTCAGTGTGGTAACACTTTGTTCATAAGTCATGTAATGTAAATCTGTTTGGTGCTCTGTTTAACTGAAGCTATGGTTTTAATTTTACATAAAGAACTTACTTAACTAGGAATTCAAAGATATAGCCAAGAAATGAAGTGAAACAGTAATGTTCTGGGAGGGGAAAGACAAGGCGAGGAGTCCACCAAGAGTATCCGCCGTTGCAAAATGTGTGTATATTTTCCACCAATGTCACACGCAAAGGCAGACTTGACTTCCAGCTGCTATAATGCAGTACAGGGTAATGAAGTGTCAGATGTGATTCCCCAAGATGGTAACCACAGAGCAGCCTTCTGCATCAAAACATTTGTGACTTTTTCTTCCCCCTAAGTTCTCATTAAAAGCAATTGTGTTTTGCTTTTATATGCTTCAAGGATGCCCATTACTTTCTCTGGCTCAAACTACAATGCGTGATTCCTGTGGATCTTTTCAAATCTGTCCTTATTACTGGTTTCATATACATCCATTCTATTCCCTGTCCTATAGTTATAATTATTTGTTCCCACTTTGAATTCTGTCTCTTTTAAGAATAAAATTCAAACCGTTCTTGTCATTTAAGAAATCTTGAAAAATTTCTGTTCCATTTTTCCTCTCACTTCCCCCAATACATATGTATTTCCTATTCTTTTAAATGTCTTTGTTGCCCCCAGCTTTACATTTTTTTTATGCCTTTCCTCGGTCTTATAACTTTTGTTTGTTATACACCAGGTATCTTCCATTGCCTGCTTTATGTCCCTTTAATGCTCATGCTTTCCACAGGGAACAGTTATATATAAGGATTTTATTAGCCAGAAAAAATTTATACAAAAAAATCAGAATGCTTTATTGCCTACAGAGAAAATCCAGATTATTGATTTGTTTTCAGTTTTTAACTAGTTTGTAGTCATTTGAGTATGCCCCTCCCAATCTTCTTTATATTGCAAACTGTGCATTACAAATATGAATCAGTTTTTTCCTGTATTTCTAATACTTAACATGATCATGCCTTTATTAAGCTTCTCTGTATTTTATGAATAGTTGATAGTAGTACTCAACCCTAAATGTACAGTAAGCAGGCCTCATTTTGTTGAGGAATGTCGCTGGGCAGTAGCTACAGCTCTTTCTGTTACTGCCATCTAGTGGATCTTCTCACTGTGTGTAATTTGTTTTGGAAGTATTTTCTAGAAATCGCATAGAAGCAGAATCCAAATAGCTAAAGATGCCCAACTGGAAATGATAAAAGCTTTATTTCACACTGTTGACATAATCCTGTTTAACCTCATCAAAGGGTTAATAAGTAAAAGATTTTACTTGAAAGTAACACCCTCACGACGTCTAGTTGGGAATTTAAAAAACTGTATCTAGATGCTACTTCCGGAGTGGCTGTGATGACGGAAGTGTCAGAAGCTCCCCTGCACCCACATTCCTGCCTCCCCTGGTCCCTTCATGGAGAGTCAATATTGTTAGGCATCCCAGCCCCAGCACTCTAGGATCTCAGATCTGGGGGTGTCTCGCCGGGGATGAACAAGCTGCAACATCCATAGCTGCTGAGCTCTGCTCCTACTCAGATCTGAAGCTGCTACTAGCATTTGCATATTTTAAATTATGCACAGTGGTGTGAAGTGGAGAAAGTTCTACTGGGACAGAATCCAAACACGCACCCAGGGAACTTTGAGACTGGAAGAAAAGTCCCACGTGATACTGTAACCAAAAGGAGGCCCCAGATTCCCACAGACCTGATACCTCATTCTTCCTTTACAAATTTACTGTGGAAGTTTAATCTTTTTTTCATTTGTGGCAGATTTGGGTCGATGATATACCCTTACCACCTAGCACAGTTTTTAGTAGATAGTAGTAGTACTTAGTAAATATTTGTTGAATGAATGAATTTAGCAGATAAGAAAATTAAATGCTGCTCTGAACATCTAAGGGTTTACTAGGGTCACTGGCTTGATGTGAGATGGAGTTTTTCATGTCTGTGTTGTACATGAACTCCTTAATTTCTCTTGTTTTATCAAGTGATAAATAAAACTTTGAAATCTGACACCTTATTTTGTATTCTTCCTTTGCAGGTCTACACCAAAATCCTTTGTGCCAATATAACTTGTACCGTTTGTATATAATCTACCACCTTCCAGGAGTAGAGCTACTTGACAGAAATCATAAGGACAACTTTTTATTGCATAGAAATATTGGAAAAGCAGTCTTACAATGCAGTAGTTTAAAAATGCAGAATGCTATTGAAATTTTGTCTTTGTAAATGAATACAATAATTGTATTTGTAAATGAATAATTGCCTTTGAAATGGAAAGGGTTTTTTAACTATTTATTTTTTAGATACTTGTTTTCTGAGATTTCCCCTAGTTTAGGAATGCATGTCTCCATCCCACTTTACTAGAAAAGCCATGTAGCTGGGCATAAGGAAGGCTTCTTTCTGGTCCTGCTTTTGACATTAACGTGTCAGATGCCAAGTCATTTATCCTCTGGAACCTTAGTTTCTTATCTCAAAAATGAGAGAATTGGACTAAGTCTCTTAAGGCCTATGTAAGCTGTAATTTATTCTCTTTCAAATTCTGTAAATTTTTATTATTTAAATTAACCTAGTCAATGATAACTTTTTATAATACATTTTCATACATTAGAAATAAACTAGCATGTTTGGTTTACATAAGCCACAAACATACAATCAAAGTCAGTACATTACATTGTACATTTTAAAGACCTATTTTATCTCCAAATTTGAATGTTCTTCTTTTTTTGATACTGGATATTGAACTCAGGGCCTCACTTATGCTAGGCAAATCCTCTCCCACTGAGCAATATCCATAGCTCTTGAATGTTCTTATTACTGAGCTACTTCCATGAGATACATCAAAGCCTTGTGACAATATATCCCCTTCTCAGTGGCCCCTGGGAAATAAAGGGATGTATCATGCTGTCACTTATCTCTGGTAATGTGTTAAAAAGTGCTCAGGATGCATTAGACTGCAGGATTGAGTTCAGCTTTATGATGTGAGGAGTGTGTAATGAGGGCTTGTAAGGTTATAAAACTAACCGTGAGTAAATCTAAATTGACAAGATAGTCACATAACCTACTTCATTTAAATACATTTTTGAAAGCCTTCAATTCTCTTTTGAGTCATTGTGCATATGTATTTACAATCCAATACTATGCTCTAATATTACTTTTCATATTTATCAGAATTTACAGAAAAAGAAAAAAGATCAATGATTACCATTTTTAACCACAAAAAGGCTCATACCATTCAATCAATTGCATTTGGAGGAAAAGTAGATGCCTCTTGGAATCCTAAATTGCCATTAAAGCAGAAACCATCCCAGAGACTGTCTTCAGGTATTTTGAAAAAAAGAAAAGAAAGAAAAAATAACAAGTGAAGTTAAAATTCCTTAAGATTTTGGAAAATTTGATTATAACTAATTTAAAATAAGATAAGTACCTATCTAGCAAAATAATATGTAATTACTTTGGATTAGTCATTTCCCATCGTTGAGAAAAAATACCCAACAACCGTGACTTGAAGGAAAAAAGGTTTATTTTGGCCGTAGTTTCAGTGGGTTCAACCCATAGTCAGCTGGCTCCAAGGCAGAAATATGAAAGGTCATGGCAGAAGGAAGGAGCTTGTGCTATGACAACCAGGAAGCAGAGAGAGAAAGGAAGGAGTCAAAGATAAGACGCTAACTTTTTAGGTTGTGCCCTGGCACCCACATTCCCACCAGTCCCCACCTCCTATCAGCATATTCAGCTATAAACTCATCAGTTAATCATTTCACTGATGACTATAGTGCCTCATGATCCAATCACCTTCAAAAGCCCCATCTCTAAACACATGGGACTTTGGGAGACATTTCAGATTCAAAGTATAACATGTTTTCTAATTTTCTTAATTTATAATTTTATTAGTCAAAGTGAATATGCATTTTCACCTTCATACATGTTAAATTAAGTGAGGTAATATGATAATGAGATAATACACTGAAGCCTGTTCCTCAGTATCTGGCACAATATAAATGCATCAATAAACTGTAGCTACGTCATTACCAATAACACAAGACAGTTTCATCACTTAAGGCTAATGATGATATAGAAAAATATTAAGAAAAAATAAAAATGATTTGCGATTTCACCACCCAGAAATAAGCACTATTGACATTTTGGTTGTACTCACATGCAAGATTGTTATATGTAAATGTAACAAATATTTTTCAGCATTGTTTCATTAGTTGGAATTTAATTTCTTATATATAACAGACTCAAACAATCAGGGGTTATTTTTACAGAGATAGGATATAAGATTAGTGTAAAGTACCAAGATATCATCAGTGTTCAAGAATATATTTATCTTTTTATTCTGCTTTTCTTAGTGTGCTTTATAATTATAAGGTGGCTGCTATACCAAGCATCACATCTCCATTCCAGGAAAGAAGAAAGAGGGGATGAAAAATGGTGCAAACAATATAATTATTTTCTTCATGATATTTTGCCAACTGGACAACATGTATTAAAACATATATTGAAAAGAATGAAATAGATTTTCTGGAAATACAGGAGAAAATATTAAATTGGAAAATAATATTGAGAAAATTACCCAGAGAGAAAGAAATAGAAGATATTAACTAGATATTGAGATATTAGAAATAGAAGAGCAAATATAATTTTAGTAATAATTCCTGAAGGAAAAACTACAAAAGAAATTGAGCAGAAGATAATGTTGGAAGTGATAATGACTATTTTCCAAAATTGATAAATTAAATGAATCCTTAGGCTTGCAAGACAAAATGAATTCAAAGACATATAACCTAAAAATAAAAAAATAAAGTTTATGCTAAACACAAAGCAATTTTAAATCAATCAGAAAAATTCAGATTATCTACAAAAGGATAACAGATTCACAAAAAACTCCTCAGCTCCAATGATGGAGGTCAGAAGATAGTGATCTAATGTCTTTAAAATGCTGAGAGAAAACAGTAGCCGGCAAAGAACTGGATAAGCAACTAAATTAATATTCCTCCCTGAGCAACAAAGGAAAAGAAGAAGAATGAGGGCAAAATTCAAGCCTTCTTCCACAACTTTCTATTACGAAAACATTCTAACAGAAAAAGGTAAAAGAATATCAAATGCTTATATCTGCGTGTGCTTATTCACCAGTTAGTCAGCCACATTCACCAGCCTCCCTAGGTGGGGCTTTGCGTCTTTTTCCAGAGAGGCCTGCCTCCTCAGAAGCTTCTCACAGCTCACTGGTCATCCCCAGAGTCAGAGGAACCAGAAAACATCCCTGTGCTGCTGACCCCAGAAGTGTTTCAGAAACGGACATTGCAGCACTTCACTCTCAAGTACTGAAACACTTAATTCTGTGCAAACCAAACTCAGGTTTCTCATGATGTAAAAAGAGGAAGTTAGGAGAGTTTTTATTGGAAATAAAGTGAAGAAAAAAGGCTCCTGATTTCTGCAGGAGGAGACTCCGAAAAGAGTTTCACATGGCCCCTTGGTCCAGAATGTTTTATGGATAAGTGGAGCACGGGAATTGCTGTTTTTTACTGGTCACCAATCACAGGTGGCTCTCTGCATTTAAAATGAACAATTCTTGGCGCCGGGGATTTAGCTCAGTGGTTCCACCACCCTTGCAAGTGCAAGGTCCCAAGTTTGATCCCTGGTACAAAAAAAACAATAAAATAACCAAATTTTTAAAGCTCTAAACATGTATTTTAATTCCAATTTTAGTATAAACTAACTCTTTAGTCATTTACCTTTATCCAATTACAAAATATTAAATGACCTTTGCCAGGCTTGGTGGCACATGCCTGTAATCCTGACACTTGGAAGATGAGGCAGGAGAATTACAAAGAGTTTGAGGCCAGCCTGAGCTACATATTCAGTTCAAAGCTAGCCTGCAATGTATAGCAGACTCTATCTAAAAAAAAAATAGAACCAAAAAAATTTTTTTAATTAAATGACATAAAAAATTTTTACCTAAATTTGTTACCTTTTAACAGAGTACCATTTAAGTAGAATGTATTTGTATATAGATGTACTTCATAGATTATTAATGCCTAGTCTTTAAAGTTTAGAGTGACATTGCCTGGATTGCATATTGTTTTGGTATACTTAACTATCATAACACAATTACATAACAATCACACAGGCATGAGTCTGAAATTTTCACCACCATAAACAACTTTAGTCTGAAAGTTATCAGTATGATGAGATGTTTTCCAGAGTTTTGCATTCTTGAAACCCTGTACACTTAGGAAACACAAGTGTATTTAATATACCATGAGGTTAGCAATAACTAGCATCACAGATGCATAGAAATCTTCTCATGTACTGTATTTACTTAGTTTTACTCAAGGCAAAATTGATTGAGACTCCTTTAACAGGTTTACAGGGTGTACTGACACCTACCTGCACTGACAAAAATTAAAGGACATCTTTAGAGTTTTTACAAACTTAGGAAACAGATTTACGAATTTAGAATTTTACAAATTTAGGATTTACTGATCACAAATGGACTTATTACCCAATATACAAGTGTATCTCATTTATAAAATATCAGAATGTTTAATCAGTCAATAGCCATAGATCAAGTTTTAAATGTCAGAACCAAATTAGAAGAGATGACAAAAATTTTGATCATTTTATTTTTTTGTCTTAAATTCTTTTATTGGTACATTTAAGTATACAATACATTTACATTTATCATTGGGAATGTGTACCTTTGCATAATGTATCTTGGTTCTTATTTTTTCCCCATTCCCCTGCCCTCACTTAAACCCCTCCATCCCTCCTTATTTACAAAGACTTTGTTTCCATTTTTTCCTTTTCTCATATTTTTTCCTTTCCCCTACCCTTCCCACCTCCCCTTCCCCTTTGGACCTTTTCTTCCTATTTCACGTTATCAATTATTCATTTTAATCCTTATTTACACTTTCAGTTTCTCATACCAGAGAACTATTCAATATTCACATAGATGTGTCCTATTTATTTCACTTAAGAGTATGGCCTCAATGTTCATCCATTTAGCTATAAATGTCTCTAGTTCCTTTATGGCTGAGGAGTACTACATTTTATTAAAAAACCATATTTTCTTTATCCAGTCTCCAGCTGATGGGCACTTGGGCTGTTTCCAAGTTTTAGCTGGTACAAACTGTGCTGCTATGAACATGGGTGCACAAGTATGACTGTGGTATGATTCTTTTAATTCTTTTGGGGAGATACCCAGCGGGGGAATAGCTGGGTCAAATGACACCTCAAATCCTAGTTTTTTGAGGTATCTCCATACTGATTTCCACAGTGGTTGCACCAGTCTACATTCCCACCAACAATGGAGAAGGGTTTCTTTCTCCCCATACCCCCATCAGCATTTGTTATTGGTTGATTTCTTGATAGCAGTCATTCCTTCTGGGGTGAGGTGGAATCTCCTTGTTGTTTTCATCTGCATTTCTCAAATGACCAGTGATGTTGAACATTTTTTCATATATTTATTTGCT